TGCCATTTTCGAAAAAAAATTCAAAAACCATATAAATGGCATTTTCGTAAATAAAATGAAGATGTGGGGTGAATAGGACAAAAACAAGATGAGTCAAAAGAAGAGGTTAGTTTTGTGTTTGACTTGGAGTTTTGAGTCAAATTTGCAAAAAGCCCTTTTAAGTAAGTCAATCACGTAATTTTCAAATTGACGTATTTTTAATTTTAAAATATAATATTAATCATTGATATATATAATTACCGATTATATATAACTTTATAATAGAATTTTGAATGTTGAATAAATATTTTCTGTAGTTATCGTATTTGACAAATGATATTAATCAAATGTTTATTATAATGCAAATTCCAGTAAAAATATTATTGACATGTAAATAAATGTATATCAAACTATATGTTATCTTTATTATGTTATATATATATATATATATATATATCTACATATAAAAAAATCACTTTGGAACATATTTTTATATTGAAAAAAATCTAAATGGTTATTGTTTCCTATAATACATATGAAATCACAATCATGTCATTATGATAATGGCCAAACTTGATATAAATGGTAATTATCATAAATTATGTCATTATGATTTCTATTATACATTATGATTCTTATAATACATTATTATGTTTCCTATAATACATATAAAATCACAATCATGTCATTATGATAATGGCCAAACTTGATATAAATGGTAATTATCATAAATTATGTCATTATGATTTCTATTATACATTATGATTCTTATAATACATTATTATGTTTCCTATAATACATATAAAATCACAATCATGTCATTATGATAATGGCCAAACTTGATATAAATGGTAATTAACATATATTATGTCACTAATTTATTCACTCAAAATGATTATATTCCAAAGAACTATAATTAAATTTGCTTCCTCTCTTGATTAGTTCTTACCAATTAAATTCAGAGACAAGAACAATTAGTGATTCTACACATAAATATTATCAATCAGAAGATAAAAAATTAGGGTAAATTATCAACCATAATCATAAATATCAAATATGGTAAGTTACTAAGCAAAATATAAGTCAGTTTTAATTGCAAAATAATAATAGATATTATTTGAGTAGCGTTTTTACTAAATATATCAAATATGGTTAGTTGCATACTTTTTCTGTTTTAGTATAATCCATGTTTTAGAAAAAAAAATTATTTCTAAAAAATAGATATTTCACATTTCCAATGCATTATTTCTGATATGATATCAATATTATTATATGATATCTGAAAAATATTTGTTTTCTCAAACTAAACATAAATTATATTTCTGAATACTATTTTTTTTTTTAAAACTATAATATTTCTAATACATCGTTTGTTTCTAAAACTAAAGAAATATATGTTTTAAACAAACTTACTAAGAATTGTTTTTTCTCATACTACTTAACCTTATAATTCTCTAAAATTTGTAATAAATTTCAAAGAATCCCTTCAATTAAGTTCCATGATTTTTTTTAAGTATTACATAAACATAAATGGTGATGCACAAGTACTTATTGTTGATCTATAGTCAAACATACTTGGTTTATGGTTAAATACTATAGTAAATCAATACTTTCTGAATTTGCCAAACATTTTTGTTTGTAACTCAAATCTTGTGTGGCTAAAGCCTAAGTTTGATGTCTATATATATATATATATATCAAACTAAAGTTATTTCTACAGAATCACAACCAACCTAAAAAAAAAACTGCGATACCAAAAAAAAAAAGTTTTGTGAAAATAATTAATTTACATAAAGTAATTGTTCGAAAACCTAGGAGTGAAGTTTTAAGTTATCTCGAGTTTGTGGTCCTCATTCTTATGATATCCTTTTTATTTTATTTTTTAAATAGTTGCATTAATATTCTTATATATTGATCTCTACAAACATGTTCATATGAAATTATGTCTTTGTAAATAGTTTTATTAATATTACGTTTTATATTGATCTTTGCAAACAAGTTCACTGGAATCAAGTGTATCGATTATGTAACTAACGCTCAGGATTTACTTGATTTTGAACCTCCATGAATGCTCATGTTGTGTTATGTGTTTTAAGTTTATGATCCATTGAGTGGGAAGAAGGTATTTTACCGTATAGCTCTTGCACATATATATGTATATATGTGATATAAGTTATTTAGTTTGTCATTTCAAATATATAATTAGAAGAAATTTGAATGATGTTCTCACATTTCGTTTGATCCTGAACTTCCAAGGATAGAAGTTCTCAAAAAGAAGTATAAATGAACATTTTAATATTTCTTGATTAATTTATTTTGATGTTTATTTACATAAGTTAAGCTGACTAAAGACTAACTTTTGAAGATCCCAAACAGTGTCTTTTGGTGGGATACATGATATTTTCATTTAATTTAATTTTTAAAATATAAAAATTTCTGCTATGTATATTTTCTTTCTTAGATAAAGGTTTTCTTAACATTCAATGATTCTATAAATATATAAGTAATTGTTTAAATATATAAATATACGTAATTTTTAAAAATTCAAAATATATCATATACAAAAATATATTACAATTATTTATTTTATTATTATCATCATACTTTGGTTATGAAATGAACAATTATATTTTAATGTTTTATTTTTCATAAATTATTTAATAAATTAATAAAAATCTTTCCTTACTCTGAAATTTTTTTCTTATATAAACACTTCAATCAATGGACATATCCAATACACAAACTTTGCTCAAACAAAAAATACAAATTAATTTATATTATATTATCTTACATATTACAGTATAGTAATAACCTCTTTCCATCACTCACCCCGCGCCGGGCGCGGGTCAACACCTAGTTTTCTTTAAAGGTAAAAGAAACATCAATAGTGAACAAAAAATAGACAAAAAGAGATTTATGGTTAAAAGTTGGATCAGGTTATGGTTCGAATTTTGGGTAGAATAAGATTGGCTTAGATCTACAAATATGTTTATATCTTACGTTTTTTATTATTTTACTTATTTTTATTTAAATTTAAATACAAAGTAATAATTATTAATGAATAGAGTCATATTAGATAAATACAAGTCCTTGAGGGCTATGAAACCCGATCCTGATAGGAAACGATAGAAACATGGACTTTTGGCTTTCAAAAACATATATAAGTTTTGGCCTATATTTGTCAAAATGTTTTTTAGTCTAGTGGCGTTTTTTAGAAAATTATAAAATTATAGCATTAACTTCTATTTATTTAAATTAAAGAAACAAATATTTCATATATCTATGAGAATTAATACTTTCCATATTTTGTTAAAGGTAATAATTATGATTTTTATGCCAATTATACTTACCATTAAATTTGAATATATTTTTGTAAAGAATAATATTAAAAGATCGAATATAGGTATATACATGAAGTTTTTAAATATTATTTACTATGTAGTTTTTACATAATACTAATATGGCAATTTTGAGTGTTCAAAAATAATTTAAAACTTATCCTAAAATTAAATTTTAGATCTAAAATAAATAAAAACATAAACATATCATAGGTTATTAAAAATGAAAGGAGACTAATACTGTCATATCAAAACTTTTTTTGTCTTTTTCTATTACCATTGTTTCGCTTTCTTTAAATGACATAGTAAAAATTTCATCAAATTCTAAGGAATTCAAAAAAAAACAATTTTTTATAATATCAAAAACAAGAGTTATTTAATCAAAAATTTCAAAAGTGTTATTAGATTTTTGGGGGTTTTTAGTGGATCAACCAATATCGGATCGTAATTTTTTTAATTTTTTACTGGATTGCATCGAACTTTTAGTTAAAAAAAAAATTCATTAAATTCAAACTGGAAAAGTGTCTAAATCTATCGCTTAAACCATATATCTGAATCAAATAAACACACTACATACTTAAAAATCAAACATTATAATAAAAAAAAAATTTGAAATACTAATAAAACAATTTTAAATTCCTTTTTCTAATAGAAGCAAATATTTCCTATATTTATGGGAACTAATACTTTCCATATTTTTGTCAAATGTAATAATTCTGATTTTTATGCCAACTATACTTGCCATTTTTGAATATAATTTTTTTGTAAATAATAATTTTAAGAGATCGAATATAGGTATATACATGAAGTTTTTAAAAATATTAGTTACTATGTAATTTTCTACATAATATTAATATGGAAATTATGAGTGTACAAAAATGATTTAAAACTTATCATAAAATTAAAATTTAGATCTAAAATAAATAAAAATATAAACATAGCATAGGTTATTAAAAACAAAAAGAAACTAATATTTTCATATCAAATTTTTTTGTCTTTTTCTATTACCATTTTTCGTTTCCTTCAAATAACATAATAAAAATTTCATCATTCTTAGGAATTAAAAAATCAATTTTATATAATATTAAAAACAAGAGTTATGTAATAAAAATTTCAAAAGTAATATTAGATTTTTTGAGTTTTTAGTGGATCAACCAATATCGGATTACAACTTTTTTAACTTTTTACAAGATTGCATCGAACTTTTAGTTAAACAAAAAAAAAAGATTTTCATTAAATTCAAATTGGATTATACACAAGTTTCTAGATCTATCGCTTCAACCATATATCTGAATCAAATATAAACACACTACTTAGAAATCAAACATTATAATAAAATTTTTTTTTGAATAACTAATAAAAAAATTTTTAAATTCTTTATTTTTAATAAAAGTTATAGATTTAATCAAATTTTATTAAACGGAAAATATCTGCACTTTTAAAACGTCGGTCAAAATCTAATTAAATTATTAAAATAAAATCAGTGCAAAATAATTTAAATAATTAATTAATTATAATGCGAGTCTAAATAATTCAAAATTTTCTATGTTTTAGTTCATCTAAGAAAAATAATCATAATAAATTGTACAAATATTTTTATAGTTATATACAAACGTATAAATAAATTATACTTTTTATTACACAAAGAATATTTAATTTAAAAGATAATCATGAATTTTGAAAGCGTAGATTAAAATCTAGTCGATTTATAAAGTAGAAACTTACAAAAGTTCAAAGTGAGGAACTTTCTCTTACCGTGCTTAACAAGGTGGCCAATGACAACAGAAGAAAAAAAAAAGCCTCCAAGCGAAAATCACAAGCTTAACAACCAGAAGCAACTGAAGTCATCATCTTCTTCTCGATCTAACCTTTTCTCTCCAGCTTTTTCTGTTATATACACACTGACACCAAAATTTAGAACATAGCAGCTCGATTAATCTACCTTAAGGCTCCTTATCTCGTGACTCTTCCACCAATGGAGTTTCCTTGAGCGAAAACTCATCAAGACTATCGTCTTCCTCTGTATCAGCCTTAAGCTCTTTGAACATGGCCATCACTTGTATCATTGTCGGCCGCTTAAACGGTCGATCGTCCAAACACTGAGACGCGATCTTCAAATAATGAAACAGCTCAACATCTCCTGATTTCTCTGTCACAAGCTCCTGGTCGAGAATCTCAATCCCTCTTTTCTCTCTGTACAGCTGTTTCGCCCACCCGACAAGGTTATTGTCTTCTCCAAACTCCCCCGGATCGATCGGTTTCTTACCAGAGAGAAGCTCAAGAAGTATCACTCCGTAGCTATAAACATCCCCTTTAGCCGTACACCTGAAACTCTGGTAATACTCAGGCGGCACGTACCCTGGAGTGCCCGCGAGCGTGCTAACGCTCAGATGCGTGTCTAGAGCGCTAACTAGCCTCGCCATACCGAAGTCAGAGACACGTGCTTCAAAGTTCTCGTCGAGAAGAACGTTGCTAGACTTCATGTCTCTGTGTATTATGTGAGGAATGCAGCTGTGGTGTAGAAACGCTAGACCTCTAGCAGCTCCAACCGCGATCTTCTTCCTCGCGGCCCAGTTTAGAAACACACCTCCTTTTCTTGATACCTCGTGAAGAACAGTCTCTAAGCTTCCCCATTTCATGTACTCATAGACGAGAAGCCTCTCTTCACCGATCTTGCAGTATCCCAAAAGAGGAACCAAGTTTCTGTGTTTGATTTTACCGATTGTTTCCATCTCTGCCATGAACTCTCTATCGCCTTGCCCCGTGATTCGGATCAGCTTCTTGATGGCTACGGTTGACCCGTCTTTGAGCTGAGCCTTGTAGACTTCTCCAAACCCACCAGAACCGATCATAGTCTCTGCGCTAAACCCGTTTGTGGCTTCAAGAAGATGCGCGAAAGTGAGCTTTCTCAGCGGTTTTTCGAAGGTGGCAACGTTGATGCTAAGCGGTTCAGGGACGCTAGAGAGCTTCCAGCTGCAGCTTCCTGAAGTGGGAAGGCTCTCAATGAACTTCTCCCTCTTCTGCTCCTTCTTCTGAACTTTCCACGCCCTGTAAAGCGCCGTGATTAGCATCACAAGGCACATGAAGGAAAACGCGATACCAGCTATCACAGCGGTTGCAACAGCCTGCTTCTTGGGGTGGACTTGGGATGTAGCGGGCCGCCGAGGAGCAGACCCGCAGGGACGCAAAGGAACGCCGCAGAGGCCAGAGTTGTTTGCGTATCTTGTGACAGGGAACGTTGTAAGCTGACCACCAAATGGGATTGGACCGGTGAGGTTGTTGTTTGAGACATCAAGATCGCTTAGGAAAGAAAGCGAGCCAAGCGATCCGGGGATGTACCCTTGAAGATCGTTGTGAGAGAGATCAAGAACACCAATAGCTTTCAATCCTCCAAGACTGTCCGGTATGGTTCCGGTTAACCGGTTATGTCCCAAATTCAAGACCTGGAGGTACCCCATGTTACCATAACTTGGAGGTATAAAGCCCGAAACAGAGTTGTAAGAGACGTCGAAGTAGATCATGCTTCCATTTGCAGTGAAAGTATACATTGTCATGCCTGAGTATATCCGCGTCCGGGGACACGAATGAACCATCGGAAACCGCTCTAACCGTTCAGCACGAATGTCTTCAAACTCAACTAATCCACCTGCACCTCTACAATCAGTACCGCCTTCGTTTCTCACAAACGCAAACTGTTTACCCGAAACACTCCCTGGCATCACAAGCCCGGCCTGGCTAGCTAACTCGCCAGGGAGTGCCCCGGTTAAATTATTGCTGTTGAGATCAAGCCAGATGAGGCTCTTGCAGTTCCCAAGCTGAGGTGGAACGTAACCAGACAAGGAGTTATTCCCCAGCTGCAAGATTGCTAGTTTGGTAAGATCACCGATTCCGCTAGGGATGGTCCCGGTTAAGCGGTTGCTTGACAGAGAGATCCAGATCATGTTGGTGCATTTGGAGATTGAGTCCGGGATTGAACCGGTTAAGAGATTGTTGTTGAGGATGAGAGTCTCTAAGTTCCCTCCTTTGACACAAACACCTTCCGGGATTCCTCCCGTGAGATTATTCGCCCACATGACCAAATCAGAGAGGTTCGGTAACATCCATACCTCATTCGGAATGGGTCCCGTGAGAGCGTTGAAGCTGAGATCGAGAGTCTTTAAACTCTTGCACTTGCCAAGCTCCATAGGAACTGTTCCCGAGAGGTAGTTGTTAGCCATGAGAAGCTTTTCAAGAACCGGCGAAGAGCAGAAACCAGAAGGTACGTTTCCGGTGAAACCATTCGAGCTTAGGTCAAGAACACGTAGGTTTGTACAGTTTGTGAGTGAGCTCGGAACAGAGCCTGAGATGTTGTTGAAAGCAACGGACAGATACACGATCCCCGTGACTTTACTCACGACGGTGGTCAAGAACTCTCCGGAGAGGAAGTTGTTACCGAGGTTTAGGATCTGTAACGAGACGCAGGCCGTGAACGGTGGAGGAAGCTCCCCGGTGAGAGAGTTTCCGGAGAGGTCGAGAGTCTCTAGCGTTCTGCAGAGTCGAGAAATCTCCGGCGGGATTTCGCCGGAGAAACGGTTGTGTGCTAGAGAGAGATGCTTGAGATTCTGGAAACTTCCCCAGTATTCTCCGCCGGGGATTTTTCCGGCGAGGTTGTTCCGAGAGATGTTCAACGTCTCGAGGAGTGTACAGTTGGTTAGAGAAATTGGGAAGTTGTCGTTGGAGATGTTGTTTTGTGAGAGACTGAGGAAGGTGAGGTTACCGCAGAAGCCGAAGTTGAGATCGGAGAAGTTGTTGTGAGTTAGGTCGAGATGTTTCAGCGAGGCAACGATGAAACTCTCCGGGATGGATTCGGATAAGATGTTGTATGAGAGATCAACGGTCGTTAATGTTTTAGACGAGGGAACAGAGCTTAATTTTCCGGTGAGTTTGTTGTTCGAGAAATTCACCGAAACGAGATTCGAACATGTTGAGAAGACGTAATCGACGATTGAATAGTGTGAGATAGAGTTCGAAGACAGATCAAGATTTTGAAGATAACAACCTGAGGAGGATGAAGCAGAGACAGAGGAATCTCCTGAGGAAGAGAAGTCGTTTCCTTGTAGGTAAAGATTCTGGAGGCTAGGCAAAGCAGTGAGGTTAACTAGGTTTAGGGTTCCGGTGATTCCGCCGTTACTGAGGTCTAATCCGATGACTCTACCGTAGTCAGAGCAAGAAACGCCTCGCCAGGAGCAGGAGCCACGACCCTGTTTCCAGTTACGGAGGATGTTGTTGGGATCAGACTTGACAGAGGTTTGCTTGAAGGACATTAACAGAGAAGTTTCGTAGGAGGTCTCTTCATCGCTGATTAGTCTTTTTCCATGAGTGGTCATCACTAGAAAAGTTGCGGAGAAACAGAGGATCAACGATAACAACCATGTATGCTTCATTTCCACACCAAGTGGTTTCGATCCAACAAGTCTTATAGAGATTGATGTTACTCAAAGGAGTAAGAATCTTCTTCTGACTTGTTCTGATTCATTTACGGTGCTCAGTTCCTCAAGACCTTCGCAAAGTAGAGAGCTTGTAATCTGCGAAATAAAAAATACAATTTTTATTCAAGAAAGGACTGATATACATATATAGAAACCTTGTTCAGAAAGAAAGAGTATAACCTAAGTTTGACAGAGACGATTATGACTGTGACTGAGATAGTTTTTCTGCTCAAGTACGATGTTGCAGAGATGGTCGGACTGAAAACAACCAAAGTTTAGATTTTCTTTTTCTTCTTTCCAAAATCAGATTGTTTAAGATTCGGTAGTGAGAGAGAGAGAAGTGCTTACATAGAGAGGTAACCTTTTTTAGCACGACCAGTTCACCCAGAAAATAGAAAGAAAAACGTGATTTTATTCCAGCAAGTTTTTTCTTTTTGATCTTGCGTAAATGAAGAGCTTATGGGTGTGGTGTCCTTGTTTGGAAAGAAATATCAATGGTCTAATTGTTGTTGAAATGAATGATTTCTTTAATTAATTCAAAAATAAAATCCTCTTTGCCGGAAAATTGCAAACAAAAATATAATAATAAGAAAAATTGGTGAATAAAGGAAGAAAAAAAGTAGGAAAAGAAAAAGCAGATAAATGAAGACATAATCCTCCACAAAAGAAGAGAAAACATAATCATCATATTAAAGATTAATTTTCTCTTTATAATCTCTGTCTAATCATCAATTATTTCGTAGTGCTTTAATCATAAAGTAATGTTTCACAAATTGATTATGGTCGAATATCACGGAGAAATTTATGATTTTTAACATTATTGTATTAACAGTCTAAAAATCTTACTTGTTTTGGGGGTTAGATGAATTACCCGGTACGTATGTAGAGATGATATAGGTCTCTCGTTCCCATGTGAGTAAATAGTTTTCTCTGCTCTAACCTATAGTTCAAAGAGAGAAAAAAAATATGAAAAAAAATTGACGATTGTTACGATAAAGGGCCTACTTTTTCCCTTATTTTTCGTATGTTTCTACGCATTTATGCAACTTTCTAACCCTACACGGCACCAAGCACTAAGCTTATTTTAATTCAAATGAATTTAACAAATAGTATGGTTATTTTAATTTGTTTATGGTCCTCGTTTTCTTTTGTATATTAGTTTTTCGGCCCCGCGTAATGTCTTTATTTATATAGTTGCCGCTTAACTTTTGGCAACTGTCGCATTTTATCCAGTTTCCACCTAAGCCCATGTATAAATAATGAATTGTAGCTGTATTAGCTAGTCTTTAGAGTATCAAAGTGCATTGCCAATAAACTAAGAGAAACTTCCTTACATATATTAGTATAATTATACACATTTATTTTAATTGTAACTAAAACAAGTTGGGAAACTTTTGATCCATCTTAATTACTACGTTAAAAATATTTTAAATTTAACAAAATTGAATTTTGTTGATGTGAAAAAAAAATTGTAATAATATATAAATTTTTAACATATACATTTTTACAGCAAATTTAGAAATATAATGAAGTCTTATATATGTTGATGTTCCATAACATATATTTCATTTACATATAATCAGTCAAATATCAATCTGTTACATCAGTAACTTACAAACCCGAACATTAATTTCAAAAATCCGTGACATTCATTCACATGTAAAAATGAGCTAGAGATTAGGGAGAAAAGACAAATACGTTTCTTGAAGTTTTAACATATAACATAGTTTATACACATAGAAAATAGGAAAAGTAGAGTATCATTTTAAACCTACTTAGGTTGTGTGATGTCCGATGTAAATGAGAATAGGGTCGGACAATTTTAACTAAAAATGGGGAGGAAAAAGACAAGGGTCCTAGGAAATAAGTTTATTATTAATAGGTTAGATAGTAATATAAATAAAATAAGAAGGGGATTTATGAAAAGTCCGAAACGGTTTCGACGCGCGTGGGCCGTAGGGTTGGGCCGTGTACCAGTTTTGTCAGTATACTCTACCGCACGAGCGCATATTTTGTGACCTTTTTCCTACTCTAAAAGATTCTCCCATGCCCACTAAGTATATTTATTTTTATACAGTGTGATGTTAAACTATTCAAGGATTTGAAAAGAAAATCGTTCGGATAATTTAGTTAATTAAATATAATCGGTTACCTTTGTAGCAGAAAAGTGAAAACCATCTATATTATTAAAAGAAAAATACCCATATACAATACTCCTGAGTTTTTCTAATTATTTACAATGTTATGCTACGAAAGTTATTAATTATTCAACTTTATAGGATTCTTTGTCTTTTCACATTAATTAATGTATTTCCAAAATCAAATTTTAACTAAAAAAATATTATGACAACAATAATTAATGAAAATAATTATTTTCATATATACCTTTCGTAATTAAATAAATAAATTATATATAAATTGTTTTACTAATTCCATATACATAATAATTAATTCCAATATTAATTAACCTACATTTTAGGATTTTTTTCTTATTAATTATCTACATATCTTTAAATAGTTAATGAACAATATTTTTTTCAAAGATATATAATTATATTTTTATTATTTATAAGTAATAACTAAAATAAAAGTCACAAAAAGAAACATTTATATAATATATAATAAAAAGATTAATATAAACATATCATGTGATGTATATTTTTATATAAATAATAGTTCAAAGTAAATTCAGAATAATAAAAGTTAAAAAGTAGAAATATATAGGACCATATATTTTAAATACTGAATAAAACAATTTAGTTATACATTATCATAAAATTTTGATCCATAAAAATAAAATAAAAAAAATTTGTGCAGATATACGGGTCATATTTTTAAATAAGTATGACACAACGATAGTTTATAAGATAAAATAAAATTACTCAATATAAACTATAAAATTGTGTGTTTAAAATATCATTTTAAATAATTATTTAAATGGATAAATTTAGAAATATATTATCACTTATAAAATATATAAAAGCAAACACTTGCGTAGATCAAACAGCAAAATTTTCAGTATTATTCTGTCAAAACTAAACCCATAAGTAATTTGTAACCATTTAATTGATACTTCATTTTTTTATTTTACATCATTTAATATAAACCTAAAAATTAAAAGAAAACCAAACACCCGTGACATGGTCTAGTCAGTATTATGACTTTAACCTATACAAATATTTTAAAAGTTCTAATAAGAATCAATATGAATAATTTATGTGAACAGTTGTTAATCTTGATGAACACTAAACAATTATATAAAATCTCAAAATATATCTAAAAATACTTTAAAAAGTTGCACTTACATGTTTGATATTTAAAATTTAGTCTTATTTTTCCAAATTATACTAGGTATGTATTTATTTTCTTAGTTTTATTAGTCCACAAATAGAAAAAGGTGGAAATTTTGATCAAAAAAAAAAGAAAAAGGTGGAAAAAGACATTTTAATGGTCACGTATCATTATCAAGATTAGGTAAAAGGAAATTGACAAATAGTTCCATGCAGGTCTCTTGCATCTTCCATATACAAAAAGAAGTTCACATATGAAAAATGATTTGTCGAGAAAATAATCATTTGAAATGAAATTGAATTTCGATCTAAGCTTTTTTAATAAGCTGTTTCCAATTGACAGATTGGAAGATGCTATGGACTATTTTGCACTTTTTATTGTGGGTATCAACCAGAATATTGAAAAACCATATTCATTCTTTGTTTGACGTTAAGGACCGACCTAATAATAATGAAGAAAAAGCTAAGCGTTTTACATTAATCATTCCTCACCCACTTACCAATATATGTATGACCAGAAAATTCAATCACACTCCAATCAGTTAGTCAACTATTTGTTAGTTTTGTCCCCTTTTACTCTCAAATTCTACGGTAAATTAAAGCTCTTTTTAGTGAAATCATCAACTCAATGGTCCATTATGAGTCATTGCATTATCTTTCGAGATCCTGTATATGATTAATCCATCAAGGTAAAAACCGTTTTAAATTCACAACTTAAATTTAACAGTTGTACACCACATTCAGGCAAAAAGAGAAACATTCAGGCATAAGATTTCTAACTCCTCCGGTGGAATTTCTAATAGCTGGAGACTAAGATTCGAAGTCGAGCTCGTCGTCTCTTCTACCAATGCCAACTTCATCATTGTCGTAGATCCCAATAGATGAATATCCTCGTTGTACTCTCGGGCACAACTCCTAATGACATTACTTATATCCTCTGTTACCAAGACATCATCCAACTCGTCATAATGATTCACGATAAAGCTAAGGTGTTATTCATATTCTCATTTAGGTGATCCATCGGGTGAAGATGCAAATCAATGTTTGTTTAGTGTATTAAAATGCAACAATAAATGGATTACCCAACTTTTAAAAACTTATCTCAAATGAGGGTGAGTTTTTATGGTGCATCTAGTTTAGTATAAACTAGGATAAAAGAGAATACCCGATCCAGATGCTTGATAAAATTGCTAACTCCTCCGGTGGAATTTCTAATAGCTGGAGACTAAGATTCGAAGTCGAGCTCATCGTCTCCTCTGCCAATGCCAACTTCATCGTTGTCGTAGATCCCAATATATGAATATCCTTGTTGTACTCTCGGGCACAACACCTCCTGATGACACTGCTAACTTTATCCTCTGTTACCGACACACATCATCCAACTCGTCATGATGATTCACGATAAAACTAAGGTGTTATTCGTTTTGCTCATCTAGGTGATCCATCGGGTGAAGATGCAAATCAATGTTTGTTTAGTGTATTAAAATGCAACATTAAAATGCATCCAACTTTTAAAAACTTATCTCAGATTCTCACCTAGATGAGGGTGCGTTTTTATGGTGCATCTAGTTTAGTATAAATGATAAATCAGAAATAACCTTTTAATTTAATAATGATCTTTTTAAATTTAATATCATGAAAGTACATATTATTTTCAAACCAAAACCACATTTTTATGAAAATTATATTTTCAGTAAAGAAAACACATTTTCACCGATGCCAAAAAAACACATTTTCACCAAAATCGTAAAACATAATTTTTCGCCAAAACCACATAACACACTTTTCCGGAAAAAATCACAAAAATACAGTTTTCTGCCAAAATCACAAAAATAAACATTCTTACCAAAATCGCAAAAATATAATTTTTCGTTAAAACATATTTTTCGTTAAACTGTGAAATTTCACTTTTCCATCAAATATACTTCTTGCCAAAACCACAAAAACATGCTTTTTCCCCAACGACATAAATACACTTTTCTACTAAAACATATTTTCCAAAAAAAAAAACAGAAGCACACGTTTTTCAGCAAAAACCACAAAACACAGTTTTTTACGAAAATTACAAAAATATATTTTCTGCCAAATCGCTATTTTCCACCAAAATTACAAAAATATATTTTCCCACATAAACATATTTTCACACTAAAACCATAAAACCCACTTTCCTGTCAAATACGCAAACACGCTTCATTCAAACGAAATGCAAAAACAAACAACACCCAGATGAACTATTTGGATAAGACATCTAAACGGACCTTCTGGATGCGGTCCATGTCGATGCACCTTTTGGATGTACACACGAACGGGGCTAACAATTTATGCCGCATAATTTGTCGCCGGTTTTCTTCAGGTTTGATCGACTTTTCAGATTCCCAACCGTGTCGATGATGAAACACGCGCATCAGTCGTAACTTCGTAAGTGAACGTCAGTGTGTGAGAGAGGATCGAATTCAGCAGTTATAGGCCTTTAATGGGCCAGCTTCAGTTTTGTGAGAGAATCTGACGTTAGTCAAAATATGTCAACATGTCGATATGTCCGAGTGGTTAAGGAGACAGACTTGAAATCTGTTGGGCTTCGCCCGCGCAGGTTCGAACCCTGCTGTCGACGATTTCTGTTTTTGATTTTTTTGTCTGTCATTTCAGTTTGATTTATTCTTGTGAACCTTTAGGTTCACCATCCAATAGAATTGTATCATTTTATATTTGATATCTTTTTAAAAAGGAAACAAAATCTTAATAAGTTATATTGTGTGTTTTAAATATAAAAATACAAAAAAAAATAATTAAGAAAAACGAAAATAATTATTTAGAAAAAAAAATTTAACATTAAACTCTAAAGTCTAATTTTAGGTAAATCACAAACCTTTGGATAAATCTATAAAAATTTAGTGTTTATGATTTATCCAAGGGTTTAGGGTTTAGGATTAGAGTTTATGGTTTAGTGTTTATGATTTACCTAAGGGTTTAGGGTTTATGATTAGAGTTTATGGTTTAGTGTTTATGATTTTCCCAAGGGTTTAGGTTTAGGATTAGAGTTTAGGGTTTAGTGTTTTAGTGAAAAGAATTTTTTTTAAAGATTTTTTTATAAAATTTACCAAAGAGTTATGATTTACCAAGGGGTTTAAGGTTTAGGATTAGAGTTTAGGGTTTAGTGTTAAAATAATTTTTATTAAAGAATTATTTTCGTTTTTATTAATTATTATTATTATTTATTTATTTTTGTATTTTTATTTTAAAAACATAATATAATTTAACAAGATTTTGTTTCTTTTTTTAAAAGATATCAAATATGAAATGATGCAATCCTATTGGATGGTGAATTTAGAAGTTCACCCTAGGGGGTGAACCCAAGAATAACTCTTTCAGTTTCTGGAAACAGTAGCTACTTGACATGTTTGAGAACAGCTATATTTGTTTAACAGATATTAGCAGAGTAAAAAAAGTAGGATCTTCTGTACTTGTTGAAATGCCCTTTCTCCATCATCTCCTTTACTACCTTCCCATAGATTACTCACCAAGTCACCAGTGTGCTGATACACACCACAAAGTTAGGTTACACCCTCTTGACACCATTTCCTTGAGTAACAAGCGTGCTTCTTTGAACTTCCCGGCCATATAAAACCCGCGTATCATGGAATCGTACGTGAAAACATTCGGGAGCTGCGCCTTCTCCGTCATCTCCTCTGCTTTCTCGAGCACACCACATGATATATATCATTTAATCATCACAGTGTAGCCAACAACCTCCGGAGTGCATCCAACACTCACCATTTCGTCCATAAAGTACTTGCAAGCTTCTAACTTCTCGGCTCGACTCAGCCGATCTATCAGAGTGGTGAAATGGTTCACACCGGGCTCTACTTTTAGTTCCTCATAAGATTCACTAGGTTAAGAGCAGCGAGAGGTTTCGTAAAGTTTACAAACATTACAAGGTTGTAAGTCAAACATCAGGTGAAAATCCGTCTTCCAGCATCTGCTCGTAGACGGTAGAGCCAATCAACCAGCTTGCCCCTAGCAATGAACAGCGTTGTAAAAGTGTTTGAAAGGTCGGTAAGTGAAAGTGTTGGACTTGATGAACTGCTCCACAACTTCTTTTGCAAGCCCTGCTTCACCGCAAGTGCATATCAACAGATTAAACGTTCGTGCTGTTGTTGGATAACCATCTTTAAGCATCTCGTCAAGAAGTCTGCACATGGCTTCATACTCACCGCACTCTGCGAATATCTTCATAAGTAAATGATAACAGTTGGGCGTGTCTGAAACAATCTTGTCCACTACACCAAAAAGAACTTGTAAGCTAGCTTAGCAGACCTTGTCTTGTTATCAGTGTTCTTGAGATCCCAACGAGAATTTCTCTCACTAACAGTCCTGAGATGGTAACAACATTCAACTCATCTAAAGCTGATTTTGTAATGAACCCATGACAATCTGGGTGTAAGGTCTGGCCTGGCCATGTGCACCAAAAGGCCCCTCTCTGACTTCTAATTAACTAGCTCTCTTCTTTCTTTATACTGCTGATACCTGTAGGGCAATTGCAATTCTACTGCTGTTTCAAGAACATGCTCCTACTACACAGCAACTAGTGCGAAATAAGAGTTGGCAACTCACATGTCTGTTAAAGAAAACTAAAAACAACTGCAGATGATTCTTGCGAGAGTAGACTGATAAGAAAATATAAAACAGGTCAAGGAAACCCACACACACAAAAAAAAAAAAACAGAGTCATGCTCTGAGATTCAAAGTTCAAAACAAAGATGCAAAGGAGGAGGAAACAACAAAGCTAACAATGGAGAGACATGTCTTGATCCATAAAACAAAGGGTAACAAAACGATAGAGAATCATTCGTAGATCCAAGAGTGAAGGCTGCTCTGCCAGTTCACAGGTCCATCAGGGAACCACAACGCACATTCCTTGTTAGCGCTCTCAACTGAGTCACTGCCATGGATAATGTTCCTGCCAATGTCAATTGCAAAATCTCCACGGATGGTTCCTGGTTCAGATGCTGCAGGGTTTGTTGCACCAATGATCTTCCTTCCTGTCAACACAACATTCTTTCCCTCCCAGATCATGGCAACGACTGGGCCAGAAATAATGTAATCAACAAGGCCACTGAAGAAAGGCTTGGCTGACAAGTCTTGGTAGTGCTTCTCAGCAAATGGACGGTCCACAGTGATCAGCTTTAGACCTGAGACCATGCCACACCAATCAAACATACTACATCAACTACAGAGCAGCATCCAATACTGACCAGATCTAAGTCTTAAAATACAAACTTAACAGCTAATTAAGTTAGCTAGTCTCAGTTACACTACTACAAACTTAAAAGCTACTGAATAAGACTCTGATTTGGTCAGATGTTATTACCTTTCAAAGTGAAACCCTTCTGCTCGAACCTGCAGATGATTTGACCGACCTGAAGATGGACCAGACATAATCAAGATGCTTGCGAGGAAACTCAACAACACTAAATCAAACAATAAGTAGAAACGTACCAGACCCCTCTGGACGCCGTCGGGCTTGATCATGATGAAAGTTTGCTCCATTGTCAGATTCTTTTTGATGTTACTCACTAGTCGGCGATACCTATGCGAAGTGAAGACAAGACGTAGTTATATAGGAGCCCTAGATGCCGAAGAATATGCGCTCCGCCTTGTGAGGCTTCTCCAGATGGGCCTTAAAAAAAATATTCTTTTTACTATTCAATGGTCCATTCATACCTCACTTGAAAACTAGAATAATTCATAAAAATTATGTTCAAAGTGAAAGTTACCATTTTTTTTTATTGAATATCAAGCTTATTGATCATAAGTAGGCCTGGGCGTTTTTACCCCAAATCAAACTCCCTACCCTAGTCCAAACCTGAAAAAACCGAAACCGGATCCGAACCGTTATATAAGAATATCCGAATGGGACTTGAGAGCTTGGTACTTTGGAGTATGGATATAACCCGAACCGAACCGAAATCTAAACTTGGATCCGACTATATCCGAAATTAGTGAAATATGTTACTATTTTTATATATGTTAAAGGGATTTAGATGTTTTAGAATATTTTAAATTTTAATAGTTTATTTTATTTGTTATTTTAAATAACTTTTAACTAATTTGTGTAGTTTGGCTTGTTTTTAGTTTTGTGAATAATTTAAATATTTTGAGTATATTTTTAACAATTTGTAAGTTTAAAAAATATTTTTGAACAATTTTATACATTGGTTATAACCCGATCCCAAACTGAACTCAGAAGAACCAAACCAAACCCGACCCGATAATTTAACCCGAATGGGACTTAAGAACATGGTACCGAAAATCTGAAAACCGAAATCAACCAAACCGAATCCGACGGGACCCCGAACGCCCATGCCTAATCATAAGCTTGAAAATTTACAAAAAAAATATGAAGTATAAGCTATTCTAATGAATAAAATAGAAAGAATCAGTGCCAATAATCCCCTTAATAATAAAAGAAGAGCATTATTATAAACTAACCTTAAGCTCATATGTTATTAACCAAATTGACATTACTTAGGTGGCAAAACTAGAATCATTCTCAGACCCTAAAATTAAAAGCCCTCTTCTCACTAAACTAATTACATATCCCATGTATATTAAAAGATAATCATTTAAAAAGTTGTAACCCTAAGTTTGTAATAATTAAAAATAATCTCAATCCTATGTGGCATTCTATTTCAATTTAGAAGGATTATAAAGCATGTAATCTAATTTATAGTCTAAAAATTATACTCTCTAGCAATATCATTTTTTGTAAGCTATAGTTGGTCGCATATATCAATATTTACTGTTTCACGGGCTTTCCTTAAATAAAACCTACAGAATTACCTAATGTGATTAAAATATATATATGAAAATTAATGATTCTAAACAATAAAGATTTAATAAAAATCTGTATACTTTTTATCATTAGTTTATTTCTTTATTATTAAAATAAATTACACAATTACATTAACCATATAATAAAAATCTATATTTTTTTTGTGTGTATGTTGTATTTTGAATTTTTCAAAATGAGTATAAATTACTAAAACTGTTAAAAATCTCACATAAACTTTTAGGATCAAGGTTTTATTTTTTTCTATATTAAAATATAATGATTATAAGACCATATGAAAAAATAGTTTTAGTTTATATATATTTCATATCGTTTAAATTAAACTATGCATCATATGAAAATACATACTTATATTTTGATATTTGCATTGAACAGATTTTGAAAAGTTAATATTTTAATTTTGAAATATGTCATTTTTTTAAATGATTATAAATTATTAAAACTACTAAACATCTCACATTAAAAAAACAATCGTTGGTGTAAAGTTTTGTTACACAAATATGCAAATAACCATAAAATCATATGAGTAGAAACCTCATTTAATAAATATCCATATTAAAAGTGTGCTATATTACTATGTTTATATCATTTAAATTTAATTATATATCATATACAATATATAAGATTGATTATTTTGATTTAATTGCAAATAAACAAGAGTGATAGTTAAATTTGTATGCATACGCCAATTTATTACATAATAGTAACTGATTTCTTAGTTATTTAATATATATATTTATTATTTTATAATATGCAGAAAATATAAAATAAATAATAAATATCAAATACAGATTGTGCATAAAGTGCAGATGTTAACTTAAATATGTATATTTTTAGTTATTTTAAATCTTAAGTATTTTATAAATACCAAGTCAAAACAAACAAACAAAATGAGAATAAACTTCAAAATCAATACTTTTATCGAGAAATAACCAAAATAAAAAAAACATAACAAGAGAAAAAATTGAAGATAAATAGGATTAACACGTGAACGTAAACTTCTGATAACCATAATTAATTTTTAAATTGTTAAATCATGATATAAAACTGAGTTAATTTTTAATTTGTTAATTTGTTAATTTTTTATTTTTATTTTTAAATCATTATAGTTATGTTAATTTATGACCATATTAATTGTAAATTGTCTATTTGTATTTGAAAAACTTAAAATATTGTTTTAAAAAATAATTTAAAACGTAACTTCTTTTTTTTTTATAAATTTATATTTTTAAATGAATTTGTAAAAAATATAATTTTCTAATCTTATTAAAAAATAAATAAATTATATTAAATTAGTTTAACTTGATATATATGAAGTCATGGTTGTTGTCCATGATATTAACATGTTAAAATTTTTGATATCAACCTCATATATATAAACTAATAATATGGTATAGTTGTATTTATATATAATCAGATGGTTCATGTAGGTAAATATATATATATATATATATATATATATATATATGTCTATATAAAAAGTACATTATTTCATATACCGAGTGATAAAATGATACAAGTAATATTCATTGGTTCTTATTAGGCCTGACTGGTTCTCCCGCCATCACCCGTAAACGCAGCTTTTGCGGTTGATAACGGTTATTGGCGTTTTGCAACAATCACATAAAATGCTATAAACCACTTTAAATAGCTCTGAATCTCTAAAATTCAAAAGCTGGTTCCAGCTAGCGTTTGCGGTTGCGGACAATTGCGGAAGGATAAAAATATTTTTTTTTTCCAAAAAGTATATAAATATAAAAATAAAATATTCAATTAAAAATTTAAATTACAATAATTGAAATACTGAAGTATTTGTATTATAAAATTTCCAAAAATATTTTCTTTAATTTTTTTAAAAATTTAATAATGCAGTTTTTTCAATAAAATTTTTATATTTATCATGAAAATATGATTTTAATATTTTGATAATTATATAAAATATAAATAGTGTTAATTTATTACTTAACCGCCGTTGTATTTGATGATAAACCAGTCATAAGTATCGCGCAAACGCAACAATTTTTAACCGTTGAACCAGTCGTATAAATCTCATACTAACACTTAAAACCGCAATCTCTCGCATCCGCAAACGCCCGCAACCGCAACCGCAATTGCTGCGTTGTAACCAATCAGACCCTTAGTCTTACCAATATGGAGTAGTGTCCAAGTCAATTTCCATATATTTGAAAACACATTATTTTTTCAATACATGTATGCTTTTACTGCATTAGTGGGTGAATACAAGGTAAGTATATAGAGGGGGGTCGTGAACGCACAGACAGCTCTTTCCTGCTCTTCAGACAAATGTTAAGTGACTGTGGAATGTTGGAGTTTCCATTCACAGGAAATTCGCTATCATGGGCTGGGAAAAGAGCAGGGAGGGTTACAGTTAGATGTCGTTTGGACAGAGCTGTTGGTAATGAGGATTGGCATGATAAGTTCCCTCATACGAAGACGCAGTATATGAGGATGTGGGGATCGGATCATCGTCCGATCCTAGCTGATATTCTTAGGAAGAAACCACGGAGATCAAAGAATTTTAAGTTTGATAAGCGGTGGTTGGATAATGAGGAGCTCAGACAAGTGATTTTGGAAGGTTGGAAATCACCGGATCTTCCACCGGATGCCAGCATTATGGAGCACATTGCAAGCTGTAGACGGGTTCTGAGTGAGTGGAAAAGACAACATAATCTCAACTCTGAGAGAAGTGTGGAGGAATTAAAAGACAAAGTGGATCAGTTATCTTCAAATGACGATGCTACTACGGAGGAGATTGCAGCGGCCCTAAAAGAATTATCTGATGCCCTTAAGGCAGAGGAATTGTTTTGGAAGCAGAAGTGTAGAGTTTTTTGGTTACGAGAGGGAGATAGAAATACAAAATTTTTCCACGCCCTCACGAAGCAGCGAAGAGCAAGGAACAGAATCACACAACTTCTGGATGAAAATGGAAATGTGGTTCAGGATGAGGAAGGATTAGTAGACATCGCTACTAATTATTTTAGACATATTTTCCAGTCCTCAAATCCGGAGGATATAGAGGAAGCACTATCTGAAGTCTCTACTACCATCACACCTAGGGATAATGAAGGTCTCACAGCGCCAGTATCTGAGTGGGAGATTAAGTTGGCTCTTTTTGCTATGCATCCAGAGAAAGCCCCTGGCCCGGATGGAATGACTGCTCTTTTTTACCAAAAATTTTGGGATATTGTCAAAGAGGACCTAACTCTTATGGTTAATAAGTTCCTGTTTGAAGGAGAGATACCCAATGGTTTAAATGAAACAAACATCTGTCTTATCCCGAAAGTTGACAAGCCAGATCAGATGAGTCAGCTACGCCCAATCAGCTTGTGCAACGTTAGCTACAAGATAATCTCTAAGGTCCTATGCCAGAGGTTAAAGAAGGTGCTTCCAGATAGAATATCAGAAACTCAGTCGGCTTTTGTTGCGGGGCGGCAGATTTCTGATAACATTATGATTGCCCAAGAGCTGTTTCATGCCCTAAGGACTAAACCCAGCGGAAGGAATAAGAGAATGGCGATTAAAACGGATATGAGCAAGGCGTATGATAGAATGGAATGGTCCTTCATTGAGGCCACCATGAGGAAGATGGGTTTTGCAGAAGTATGGATCACTTGGATTATGCGCTGTATAACTTCTGTTAGGTATAAGGTACTGATGAATGGTCAGCCAAGCGGGA